TTTAGGGTTTGGGGTTTGGGGGGTAGATTATAGCATTGATAAGGAACCCTCAGGTTTGAGACAGTGTTCAGGCTTCTGGAAAGTGATGGGAGAAGCGGGACAGGGTTTCAGGGTTCAGGGTTTAGGGCCTTTAGGGTCTAGGGTTTAAGGTTTAGGGTCCGGGGTTTAGGGTTTAGGGTCCAGGGTTTAGAGGGTCTAGGGTCATCTAGGGATGCAGAAGTGAGCATCACAAGCAGCAAACCGGAAAACGAGATCCCCAAGCTGGACGCAAACAACCGAAGCGACAGAGAGCTCAACTCAGAAATCTCAGAAGTACTTGTGGCAACCAGCAAGTTGGAACATGGGTTTAGGAGGATTAGTGGTAGGCTCCCTTGTACTGTACCTTAAGGGCATGAGGATAGTCATGCTCCAACTTTCTGGCTTCAACTCTCAACGCCCTACACCTCACACCCCAAACACGCAAACCATAGCCTGATGCATGTTCCGCGAGGGATATAGGAGGATCCGCCCCCAAAAACACCCCATTCTAATTACTGAGGCCCCTATAATGTAGGGGCATTAATAATTCGAATAGGGTTTGGGGTACGTTATACTTATACTCTAATTAGAAGAAGGAGCCCTTAAGAATTGTATTGGTAAATTGATTCAGGCCCCTATATTGCTAGAGCCCGCCTTCCACCGAGCTTCTTCTGCAGCCTAAACCCTAAACCCTAAACCCCTAAACCCTAAACCCTAAACCCTAAACCAGGCTGGCCTGAGGAGGTGGGAGGGTCTAGAGTTCCGGTTTTCCAAAATTTAAAAGGGTCTCGGCTTGGGGCTTCGAGTTAGGGTTTAGGGCTTATAGGGTTTAAGGTTTTGGGTTTAGGGCTTCGAGTTTAGGGTTTAGGGTTTATGGGGTTTAAGTTTTTCGGTTTTGGGTTTAGGGTTTCGAATTTAGGGTTTAGGGTTTATAGGGTTAAGTTTTTGGGTTTAGGGGTTTAGGGTTTAGGGGTTTAGGGGTTTAGGGTTTATAGGGTTTACGGTCTTTGGGTTTTGGGTTTAGGGCTTCGAGTTTAGGGTTTATAGGGTTTATAGGGTTTAAGTTAGGTTTTGGGTTTTAGGTTTAGGGCTTCGGGGTTAGGGTTTAGGGTTTATAGGGTTTAAGGTTTAGGGTCTCGGGCCTAAGGGGTTTGGGGTTTGGGCTCTGGGTTTCAGGTTGGGGGCTTTGGGGTGGTATGTCAGTTTAGACTTCAAAGGTTTCGGGCTACAGGGGCCACTCAAGCACCCAAACATCTAAAGGCGTCAACCTTATTTTGGGGCCTTGATCATTAGAATAGGGATAACAAGGAAGCCCCCAAACTAGTATAGGTAATTATTTAGGCCCCTACATTCTCAGGCTGGCCCTTGGAAGCCTTGGCAACATATTCGTAAGTCAGATCCTCCTGGGCCCAAGAAGGGAAATCCAAGATGTTGCAAAGGCCTAGCTAATATAGGGGCCTTCATAATTAGAAATAGCGTTTTGGGTATATTATACTATAAGTATAAGAAGGAACCTCCATTTGAGGTCGTTTATACTATGTGTATAATAAGGAACCCCCAAAACCCTATTCTAATTATTAAGGCCCCCACATTGGTTCATCTCCGAGGAAAAGGCTGAACTTGGACCTATGTCGAGATCCGACCCTTTCAACTCTTTCGCCTTGTGCCAGACAGAGCTGCCTCGCGGCAGATTTCACGCAAAAGCCCAGCAAGAACCTCCCATCCGACAGAAGCCGCTGAAACATGTCCAGGAAGCTTGGGGAGTGTGCGGCACTTGCGGCGCAGACGGAACAACAGCATGTGGCATAGGAGGCTCGAACGAAGCGGGAAGGTGATTCTGAGAGGGTTTTCGATTGCCTCGCCTTCTCCTGGATTTTGCCTTCGTCGCAGGAGCTGTCGTTGTTGCTGGTGTTGCAGCTGCCAGCATTCCGTGAGCAAGTAGAGTCCCCCAGGCATCGGCGGCTGCATATGATACAAAGCCGGGCTCGGCGAGCATGTCTTGTCCGGATTCCAGCCTCCACCAGCCTTTCTTTTTGAAGCTCTGCTTTTTCCAAGTCGCTTCGTCAGGATCACCCCGGCTCAGGAAAGCAGCAAGCCCCGGCGTGGGATGCAGGTGGGCCATGTCCTTCAGATCGGCCACGGGGCCCAGAACCTCCATGCCCGGGGAGCAGTTTTTCAAGGCCTGGATGTCCCCCTTCCCTTGGCAGAAAACTTTTTGGATGCTGGCGTCTGCCAGCAACTTCCGAAGGTCTGGGGAATAGAGCCCGGACTGGGTGCGGACCTCCACCACGACGACGGAGCTCGATGCGACTTGCACCATCAATGGGCCCTTCTTGCCCAATTCCCCATGATGGCCCTCACAGTCTACGCCGATGGATTGATCAATTGATTCACGGAGCTTGCCGTAGATTTGTGTGGTGGACCTTCGGTCCATCTCCGGATCGACCACCAGGACCTCCACCCCCGAAAGCCTCATCTGCTCCTCCAGCTGCTTTTCTCTAGGCGCCGCAAAAAACTTGCTTGGCATGTTAAAACTGACTCAATGAGGCTGGAAAGCAGCGAGACGGAATTGCGTCGGTAACGTCTGATACGATCAATGCAAACCCTCCCTGAATTTTAAGTATGCTTTCCGTGTTGACTAGTCAGAGAGCTACAATCTACACTACCGGCGCGTTTTAGAACTCTGCAAGACAGCAGCCGCGCTGACCCAGAGGACCACGTCAGCTCACATAGTTCGGGCTTGGTATTGCAGGGGCGTGCACAACTGAAACAGGATTTCCCCGGGTATATGAAAGGAAACCTAAACATGACTTTGTAAGAGAACCCTCAAATTGTGTTGCTATATCAGGGCTAGGAAAGATATCCCACGGAGAATACAACTAACTTCATGGTCTTACTGTCAGCCGCAATTCGTGGACGACATGCAGAGACGAAGCTGCTGAGCCCCTGAGGACGGAAGTTGGCACTTCAGCAGTTTTCACCAGCTGAAAACTCGATCTCGAGAGGGCTCGCGGACACTTTATCATAGAGAGCGAACCCAGGCTCCAGGACAGTCCCTTCTGTTATCATATCTGAGGCGGCGCAAATTCTGACAGTTCAAGCAGGGAGTACAGAGACCCTAAACCCAAAACGCTAAGCCCTAAACCCCAAAAACCCTAAACCCTAGGAGCCGAAAAGCCTTCGGCGCCTGGTGCGATGATCACCAGGCGTTCTCGGAGTTGGCCTGCCCGCGAGAGGATCTTTAGGTTTGGGGTTTGGGGTTCAGGGTTTGGGGGTTCAGGGTTTAGGGTTTGGGGGCTTAAGGTTTGGTGGTTTAGGGTTTAGGGTTTAGGGTTTAGGGTTAGGGTTTGGGGTTTGGGGTTTGTGGGTTTAGAGTTTAGGGTTTGGGGGTTTCGGGTTTAGGGTTGGGATCTTTGCAGATCTTTGCACACCTTTAGGGCTTTAGTGTTCATTCAAGGCGGTTTAGGGTTTCGGGTTTCAGGGGGGTTTTGGGGTTTGCGGCTTTGGGCTTAGGCATTAGGGTTTTGGGGTTCAGGGTTTCGGGTCTGCACTGATTGCATGAAGCCTCCAGACACTCAAACATCCCTGCAGAAAGGATCACTCATTAGGGATCCGTATACTACAAACCATAAACCCAAACCCTAAACCCTAAACAGCATTAAGGATCCTTACCAGCATTCCACAGCTCAGGACTATGGCTTTATCGGCCCTACATTAGGTGTCAGGTGTGCTCGAGTTCACAAAAAGCGGTACATCCTGTGCTTCGAAAGTTTTGGGTTTAGGGTTTAGGGTTTGGGGTTTAGAGTTTAGGGTACTGTAGCTGGGGTTCCTTATGGTACGGTACCCGTCGTGTCCGACGGTCTCCTACTTTCCGGAAACAGCCGTCGAACGAGGCCGAGTTAAGGCAAGAACCCGGAACAGCTAAACCTCACTACATCAGAAGCCCTAAGCCCTCAACCCTAAACCCAAAGCCCTAAACCCTAAACCCAAAGCCCTGAACCCTAGCCTCTAAACCCTAAGCCCTAAGCCCTAAACCCTAAACCCTATGCGAAGGAGTCCCTGGAGGCTCGAAGCTTGGTATTCTAGGGCTTCCTATGGCGCGGCCCTCCTTTTAGAAAGGCCCACAATCAGGACCAAACCCAAAGATCCCTAAACCCTAGACCCATAAACTCGAAACCCTAAGATCCCTGCGAAGTCGCCCTTGTCGACCCTGAATCAAGAACGCCATACCCAGAATCCTAAACCCCAACACCCAGGCTTGAGGGGTTTAGTGGTTTACTCTGACCTCTAAACCCCGAACTCCGAACCCCAAAATATAATCTCTCATCGTCAGACATCTGAAAGTCTTGTCCGGTTCCTTTTCAGGGCTCCATAAAGCCATAAAGGGTTACGACGCTGCATGGGGCGGTCTGGAGCAACACCTGAAACGTAGGTTGGTGGTGTGGGCTTCAGGGGCTTAGCGCCTATGGGGTTTAGGGTTTGGGCTTAGGCTTTTGTTTAGAGTTTAGGTTAATTACTTTAAGGAGTTAAGGGTTCAGGGTTTAGGGAGTTTAGGGCTTAGGATTTAGGGTTTGTTCAGTTGCCTTATCGACTCTCCAAATCGATTTTTCTTACAGGTTCTTGGTCCTTGCACTAAGGGATCCGACTACTTGGCTGAATCTTAGGGACACAAGCAATGTCGCCCAAACAAAGCCCCCTGTGCGTGGACTCGACTCTTTTCGCAGACTTCCCCTTTTCAGGGGAGGCTTTGCAGCAATATCAGCCCCCTTTTAGGAGCGACCCCAAGACGCACCCTCTTGACTCAGTGCTCTTACCTGAAGCCTGCTAACCTGAAGGAAGTACAGCACGCTCGAACATTATGACAGTGCATCAGCCGTAATTAAGACCTCGATTTGTTACAGCGGTCTTCATCGCTGAAAGAGCACAGAGCACGAGGGATGTAGCTGCGACCTGGAAAAGAGAAGTCTAACGACAGGGCAGCCGCGCAAAAGAGAATACTGAGAATGGGTACGACTATAAGAACTCCCAAACGGTTTAGGGTTTAGGGTTTAGGGTTTAAGGGTTTCAGGTTTAAGGGTCTAGGGTTTAGGGTTTAGGACCCGTCAAGCCCTAAACCCCAAACCCAAAATCCAAGGTTCAACTCCTCACTACAGGAAGCTCGCCCATGGAAACGCAAAGCCCTAAACACCAAACCCTAAACCCTGAAAGGGTTCTACTAAGGTTGTTCCTTGAAAGGGAACCTTGAAGCCCTGAGCTCCAAACCAAGCAATCGCAAGCCCGAACACCTAGACCCCAGATAGATTTTAGGGTTTAGGGTTTAGGGTTTAGGGTTTAGGGTTTAGGGTTGATAGATCTCCGATAGATGCTTTACTTGGTTGGCCCTTTGAAGCCTTCGAAGAATACTCGAAATGAAGGTTCTTTAGGGTTTAGGGTTTAGGGCTAGGGGCCCAATAAGGGTAAACATAAAATGTCCCAAAGGCCTACCTAGTTTTCTCGGACTCCGCGCAGCCCCGACTTTGGGGGTATCTTTACAACGCCCTCAGCAGACCTCCTCGCTCTGTGAGATGTCACTGGTGGTATCATCAGACGACTCATACGACTCCTCTGATGAGGGGTGCTGCGCACTCTAGGGCATAGGGCTTACGGCTTAGGGTTTAGGATTTAGGGTTTTGGTTCGGTTGAGGGTCTGTTGAGGGTTCGTTTAGGGCTTCCGTTCTCGAGTCCTTTTGGCGGTTCGATTGGAGGCTCGTGAGTTCGGAGTCTCAAGCAGGGTCGGGTTGGATATTGGGTTTAGGGTTTAGGGTTTAGGGTTTAGGTCAAGAATTAGACTACATTTCTGGGGTATCATAGAGAATCATTACAAGAAGGAACCTAAAGGAATAGTGTTAGATCAATCCATATTCGGGCTTCTACATATTCCATATTCGGCAGTAGAGCTGTGATCTTCAGAGGTAGCGTGAGACGCTTGAATAACGGAAGGAGGGCTGAGAAAACTGTAATGCAGGCAGTAGGAAGCATTGGTGGACAGGCCTTGGTATTCTCAAGCTTCTCCTCAGGCCTATCACAGACACCTTATTCATTCCAGCAGGGTGTTGTATTTGCATTTGTTATCCTCGTATAGGATAGAGGGACCATAGGGAGGTAATGGTGGTCATCATCCAGACCCCGAGATTACCATCTTGTGCTACACAATAAGGAACCCGTAGCAAGAATCTTCGGCAAGTCTCCTCTTCTTTCCTCAAGCCCTTGCGAAACTCCGCGACTTCCCGAACTTGCCCAGCCGCCACGATGTAGGTGAGGCCGCAGAGGGGATTAACGATGGTCATGAGATCCTTGGCCCTGTCTGGGTTGACAAAAGGGATAGGCCCGTCGGAGTAGTAGGTCTGGAAGGCCTCTAACGGCACCCGGGATGCCAGAGGGCCTATGAAAAACCACAGAAGCACGATCCTTGGCTGTAGCTTTGGGGCCCTTAAAGAGAAACTATGAGTAGGTACCTCGCTAGGAACAGATTATGGGGAAAATAAAAGGTTCCCAAAGCGCCACCAACGGTCGGAAACATGTCGAAGACAGACCGGATGACCTAGTTCGTGGTTGGGAGAGTATCAAACCGAACATTCTATACCTTATTGAGCTTTAAGTAGCCATAAAAAATGTGTAAATGTTGCCCAACTGTGATAAAAGTGACGGTGTTGAAGTTTTGGACCACCTTCCCTGTCAACCAGCTATACACAACGCCCGCCGCAAGCGTGGCATAGACAAACCATGAGTCCCAGCCCAAGAAGACACCACGGCCACAGATACACCTGGGTTCTTCTAGGGTCGGGGCTTAAGGGTTTGTGGGGCTTAAGGATTTAGGGGTTTAGAGGTTTAGGGTTCAGGATTTAGGGTTTAGGGCTCAGGCTTCTAAGGTTAGAAGTATGGGCCCCTAATATGAACCCTTAGGCCTTTCTAGGGACCCTTAAGGGTACATATAGGGTATATAGTAGGTGTATAAGGATCCCAGGGTTAAGCCCATACTAGGGGCCCATGGGTTCAACCTTAGATTCTTCTAGGGTCGGGTTCTAGGTTTTATGGGGCTTAAGGGCTTAGGGATTTAGAGGTTTAGGGTTTAGGGTTCAGGGTTAAGGGTTTAGGGTTTAGGGATTGGGGTTTAGGGGTTTAGGGTTTAAGGGTTTAGGCTTTAGGGTTTGGGGTTTAAGGGTTGAGGGTTTAGGGGTATTGTGTTAGGTATCAACATCAAGAAAATACTGTACCCTCTCTGCCACATGTCCCATAGGGTAGCTCAAACTCCCCGAAACCCTAAACCCAACAGCCAGAAATCTCTAAACTCTCAAACCCTAAACCCCAAACCCAACAGCCACAAATCCCTAAACTCTCTAAAGCCCTGTGAACCCTGAACCCTAATTTCAACAGCCAGAAATCCCTAAAGTCTCTAAAGCGCTGTGAACCCTGGACCCTAAACCCTCAAAGCTCTCTAGAAAAATTAAAGGAAACCACATGTGGGGAGTTTAGGGTATATAGGGCTTCTATAAGGCTTCCATAAGGTATATAGACCTTCTATGAGGCTCCTACAACGGGAACTACCCACCTGAAAATGTCCTAGAAAGAACCCGAGGCACTCCAGCTCACCCAAGGCGGTCGCGTTGGAGCTGACGAAGGCACCTCTCAGAGATTTTGTCGTTTCTGCTCTACTTATAGTGAACCCCAGCTTAGGGCCACAATGCAACACTTTAATGCTCTGATGGGTAGTTCTCTAAATTAGGGTCCCTTTTTAGGGTCCTTTTTTAAGGGTGCCGTAGTATATTTGGGACCTAAAAAAGGGACCCTAATTTAGAGACCTACCCTAATACCAGAATACTCTAATACTACTACCATAAAACATTATTGTGAAAAGGTCGCATAATACTACAAGAAACTGCAATACTTTAATTTCTGACCTAAAGACCGGACGGTGTCAGCCGAAAACCTGATTCTTGCCCACCAGGTGGGGGAGCATCATCAGCATCATTCGGGACGTTGGCTTGGGGAACGCCGCGATAAACGTGCGAAAGCGCAACATAGGCAGATGCCAACACAGCTCAAAATTTTGGGGTTCCTGCATGGAGCTTGCTGGGCCAGCAACTTGAGCAGGCATCATGCGCATCAGGAGGTTTTGCGCATTCACTCAGCACCATCCTTTCCCCCTGATTTAATTACATCCCGTCAGAATCAGAACCGGGCAAATCTGGCCCCACTGTCAAGTCCAGCGCATCATGCATGGCGCCCGAACTTAGCCTGGTGCAAGAGTTGTTGGACGCACCCTAAACCCTAAACCCTAAACCCTAAACCCTAAATCCCCTGCTATTCTGGGACAACGTGGGCCAGCATCATGCGTATCATTTGGAGCAGCTTCTGCGAGAATTCCGGGTGGGAGCGCAATGTTCGCATTGCTACGATGGCTACGTTGAGGGTTTAGGGTTTAGGGTTTAGGGTTTAGGGTTAATACGGTTAAAGCCCGATAAACACCCTGCAAGACCCGGAAAACGCTCTCTGTGAAACCCTCATAGGACTTGCGAGGCCTGTGTCGGCATCGCAGGAACCCAGCTCATGACCTCACATTGAAGCAATGTGGCAGGGGCTACACGAAGTCCCGAAGGCCTTATGTTATAGGGTTTAGGGCTCAGGCAAGAGGGCTTATAGAGTTTGGGGTTCAGGGTACAGAGGGATCATCTCTGCACTTGAAAACCCCAAAAAGGCAACCCTAAACCCTAAACCCTGGACCCCAAAAAGCCTTCCCCCAAAACCCCAAGCCTAACACCTCCAAACCCTAAACGCCCTAAGCCTTCCTTCAAACCCCCAGGCCTAACACCTAAAGAAACCCTAAACCGCCTGAACCTTGTCGGATTGGCGGGTTCAGGGTTAGGGTTTAGGGTTTTAGGGTTTAGGGTTTAGGGTTTAGGGTTTAGGGTTTAGGGGCTGACAAGCCAAGGAACACCAAGAAGAGTCTACAAAACCCTGAGAGCTCCAGAAAACAATGAACCCTAAACCCCAAAAGCCTAAACCCGCAACCCTGAAACCCTAGAACCTAAACCCTAAAACCCTAGACCCTCAAAACCCAGACCCCACAAACCCTAAACTCCAAAGCCAGGGGGCAGGCCCAGTAGGGATATGGCCGGTAGACCCAGTAGGCAAGGTCGGGGCGTCCTCCATGGACTCCCATGAAGCCCATGACGGGCAAGAAGGTGATGCTCCAGAAAAAGGTGCCAAGATCTAGCCGCACCTAGGGGTCTAGGGCTCAGGACCGTAGGCTTTAGGCCCCTAGGATGAATCATGTAGGGTTTAGGGGCTTATGATTTAGGGTTTAGGGGCTTAGGATTCATTACCATGTAGGGTTTAAGGGCTTAGGATTTGGGGTTTAGGTTTAGCGTCTAGGGTTTATCGCACCCAGGGCTGATAGGGCTCGCGGTCTTCCTGGCGAAGATCTAGGGTTCAGGGTTCCAGGGTTTAGGGTTTAGGGTTTAGGGTTCAGGGTTTAGGGGTTTAGGGTTCAGGGGTTTAGGGGTTCAGGGGTTTAGGGTTTACGGTTTAGTGTTCAGGGCTTTTCGGGATGCAATATAGGGCCTGAATAATTAGAAAAGGGTTCCTTTAAAGGGTTCCTTAAAAGGGGATACTATCAGGGTTCTACAATATAGGGGCCTTAATGATTAATTAGAAAAGGGTTTGGGGTGTAGATTGTGCTATACTTATAATAAGGAACCCCCCAAAAAGTACTCGTAACTTACCCTAAACCCTAAACCCTAAACCCTGAGCCCTAAACCCTAAACCCTAAACCCGTAGCCCTAAGCTTTAAATCATCAACCCCACCGAAACCCAAAGCCCTCAACCCCTAAGCGGTAAACCCCCAAACCTAAAGCCCCAAGCCCTCAACCTCACCATAAACTACCAAAACCTACTTTTTTGTAGGGTCCCTCTATATATATATATATATATATGCATGTATGTGTATATATATATATATATATATCTGTTTTAGGGTTCATAAGAAGAACCGACAAAAAAAAAGGTTTTGGTAGGTTAACGTAATCACCCTGAACCCAAGCCCCCAGCTCTAGGCTTGCAACCTAGGCTTGCAACCTCGCGATACCCTGTAGGGGCCTTAATGATCAAAAGAGTGTTTGGGGGCCGTTGTGCTATATTTGCATGATCCCTAAACCACCCTAAAACCCTTAACCCTTAACCCTAAACCCAAACCCCAAAACCCTTAACCCTAAACCTAAAAACCCTAGGAAGGGAAGTTTCTATATTATAAAGCGGCCAGAGCCCAGCCTTGTTCATGATGAAAGGCGTCGTGGTATTCTGAAGTGCCAGCTCCATGATCACCTGAGTTTCTTGGCATAAAGCAAGTTCATGTTTATGAACCCCTAATTATCACGCACAATCTGGCACCCGATACTCTAATGCCCAACCCCTTGGTAACTTAAGTTCTAAGTCCAAAAAACCTTAAGCCCCAAACCCTTAACCCTAAACCCTGGACCTGGAGCTTAAACCCTAAACCTTGAGCTCTAAACCCTAAACCGTAATCCGTAACCGCCCGGTCACGGAGTTGATGCAGGACACTGACGCCGATGCCGCCACGCAGAAGATAGCACCCACATGTGATTTTCCTGGGCTCTGGTGAAACACTAATAATTACAGCGATAGGGAAATATGGAAAGAAATGGAGTTTGAGTGTCCACCAAGAAATGTGTAGCAAAAATAGTACCACTCACTCTTCTATCATGACTTCACCAGCTTCAGTATGCAGAGCCTGGCTTCTTCCAGCGCGGTGGTTTGCAACGGTGGCATCCATGAAAGCTAGGATGACAGCAGCATCGAAGGAGGCCGTGTGCGACAGCCACTCAATCCAAGCGTAGCTTTGCCTCGGTTGTGGTTCAGGGTGGCCCAGTAAGCCCTCCACGAAAAAAGGATATATTATTTTGCTTACAGTTCTGATAACATGGAGACCCTCAATCCAACCGTGAACCCTGCATCGAAACGCTAAACCCTAAAAGCCCTCAAGCCCACAACCTCAAATCCCGACATAGTTGCTTCAAGATGAAACGTCCCAAAACCATGGCCAAGGGAGTGTAGATCTTTCCCATGGCCTCACAAGAAGGAACAACGAAAAGCAGCAAAGTATCATATCACATCACAGAGTATAGAATGGATGACGGATATTGCAATGTAATGTGATGTTCATGCAGTGCCAGTGCCAAGCACGGTAAGATAAGGTGAGTCTTGGTTAGGTCCGGTAAGGTACAGAAAGATCAGGCTAGGTAAGGTTAGGTGAGGTTACTAGTAATACTAAGCCCGCAAAATAGTACTGGTAATTATTCAGGCCCCTATATTAAGTGGCTCCTTCAGCGAAACCATATTACTTACTATCGATTCCTATTATGGTAACTTAAACTAAATCCCTTAACAAGAACCCAGATCAAGGGCGGCCCTAAACCCTCAACCCTAAACCCTAAAACCTAAACCCTAAACCCCCCCGAAACCCCCAAACCCTAAACCCCCAAACTCTAAACCCCTAAAACTCCTAAACCCTNNTAAACCCTAACCCTAAACCCCTAAATTTGCCTCCTTCAGCGACGCGTTGATGCCTATTGCCATGGCCAGCCCCGACAAAGAAAGCGAGACCGACTGGAGGAAGCCCAGGGCGAAGAATTTCGGCAAGCTGCAGGGGTTCAAGGCCTCCGAAGGGCTTTTGGGTTGAGGGTTTAGGG